TACCACATAAATGTGAGTAAATTCTGCACCTTATATTCTTTTCATGATCTGTAGATGTCCATTCTTACACTAACACTATTAAGGCACAGCATTCAAGAATGTGCTGATGCAATAAAGTAGCGTTAAGTTCTCTACATATTTTTTGGCCCATAAAATTATTTTGGCCAGTCTAAATTCTTTCCATTTCCTTATGAATTTTAGGATAAGCTTGTCAATTACTACAAAATCAAGCCTGCCGGGATTTTGACTGGAATTTCATTACGTTTACAGCTTCATTTGAGGGTCTAATAGGTGCCACAAACTGTTCTAATTTGGGGGTACTACCTCCGACTGGATGCTCAGAGAGGGGCTCATGGAGATGATCACATGTGAGTGTAGATCAGAAGGACAAGAAGAGAGAAATTAGAAAACAGAAGATAAGAGCTTTTCTGACAGAGCATCATAGGACAAAGTTGTATAAAAACTTTGTTCAAAAACACAAGGAAGGCCAGTGTTGCTAAAATGTAGTGATAATGAAAATGCTTAAAGATGAAGTTGATGGGGCGCCTGGGTGGCTCAGTGGGTTAAAGCCTCTGCCTTCGGCTCAGGTCATGATCCCAGGGTCCTGGGATCAAGCCCCGCATCGGGCTCTCTGCTCGGCGGGGAGCCTGCTTCCTCCTCTCTCTCTGCCTGCCTGTCTGCCTACTTGTGATCTGTCTGTCAAATAAATAAATAAAATATTTAAAAAAAAAAAAAAAGATGAAGTTGATTCAGAAGACAGGCACTGAGGTTCTGTAGTGTTTTGTTGTGTTTTTTGAAAGATTTTATTTATTTATATGACAGAGAGAGAGAGAGAGATCACACGGAGGCATAGAGGCAGGTAGAGGGGGAGAGGGGAGTAGGCTCCCCACTGAGCAGAGAGCCCGATGTAGGGCTCGATCCCAGGACCCTGAGATCATGACCTGAGCCGAAGGCAGAGGCTTAACACTCTGAGCCACCCAGGTGCCCCAAAGAGAAGCAGGCTCCCCACTGAGCAAGGAGCCCAATTCGGGACTCGATCCCAGGACTCTGGGATCATAACCTGAGCTGAAGGCAGCAGCTTAACCAACTAAGCCACCCAGGTGACCCTGTTTTTTTTGTTTTTTTGTTTTTTAATTTAGCTTCACTATTCCTCCTCGAATTATTTTTTACTCCTCATATTACTTAAATCAAGTTTAATGTTATCTTAGGTCTTTTTAAACTATTATTTCTATTTAGTTTTGGCACAGAGTAGCCGAACTGTTCAATCCCATTAGATCCCTTTTATTCTGTTTAGTTATCTTCTAAAGCTGTGTATATATTACTCCAAAACAAATGCTGACCAGCAAAAATACACAATCATTTCGCAGTGTTCTCCATTCAAAATAAAGCACTGAACCCAGCTGATTTCAGTGAAACGACTCAATGTTTTGACATGTAGGCAGAAAACAAGAGTTATTTTGTTTATCTACAGAGTTGCTATCTCCCTTGTACCACAGGAAATTCAGAGGGACTCCCATGGTAATAACTGAATAGCTTTTCCCTCCTGCACACTAGTGTGGTCTAGAGAAAAAGGCATAAACAAGTTAATGAACTTTTAACAGGCACTTACAGGAATTTCTAAAGATGTTTTATCGATGTTCTGAAAATGATTTCATAAATGCGGAAAATTTATAGTGGGTTTTCTTCTAAGAATGGTCAATCTTGAAAAGTTCTACTTTTTTTTTTTGAAGATTTTATTTATTTATTTGACAGAGAGAGAGATCACAAGTAGGCAGACAGGCAGGCGGGGGGTGGGGGGGAAGGCCCCCCGCTGAGCAGAGAGCCCGATGCAGGGCTCGATTCCAGGACCCTGAGATCATGACCTGAGCTGAAGGCAGTGGCTTAACCCACTGAGCCACCCAGGTGCCCCAAAAACTTTTTTTTTTTAAGATTTTATTTCTTTGAGAGAGTGCAAGTTTGAGAGAGAGATCATGAGCAGGGGGAAGTGAAGAGGGAAAAGCAGACTCCCCACTGAGCAGGGAGCTGGAAATGGGACTTGACCCCAGGACCCTGGGATCATGACCCAAGCCAAAGGCAGACGCTTAACTGACTGAGCCACCCAGGCACCCCAAAAGAAACCTTTTTATGCCTAAAATATCAGAAATAGGATTCAGAATATAACATGTTAATTGCCCTTGATTGTTATTTATTTTCCATCATTCATTTCCAATTTGAGGTGCTAATATACTATAGTCTAGACACCATTTGATGTTTTATATTAAAATATATTAATAAAAGATTACTCCAAAATCAGAGCTAGAAACTAAAATGTTATTACTCCAAAAATAAAACAGAGCTAGAAACTAAAATGTTGTTTCTTCAAATCTGACTCATTCACAACAAAAATGACTAACAAGGAATCTTACACCCACCCTGAGCAATTTTAATTAAAGGAGAAGAAAAAAGAACAAAGAGAAGAAAACTGCTTTTTGTTCAGTACTGCTTTTTTTTTTTTTGACAGAGAGAGATAGATCACAAGCAGGCAGAGAGACAGGCAGAGAGGGAGGGGGAAGCAGGCCCCCCGCAGAGCAGAGAGCCCAATGTGGGGCTTGATCCCAGGACCCTGAGATCAGGACCTAAACCGAAGGCAGAGGCTTAACCCACTGAGCCACCCAGGTGCCCTTCAGTACTACTTTTAATTTCTCAAATTTTTCATTACCACATGGAAGTTACCAGTCAAAGGCACACAGGCCTGATTTTAGATCTCTGGATGACCTGAAGGGTATTGTCCTAAACTCAGACCTATTCAGATACTACTCCTGCCGACCATACATATATCTTCTCAAAATAATATCCTTAGTGCAAATTAAAAAAAAAAAACCACTCCTCATGTTGGCTAGTATAATTCTCTTAATATATTTCATTCCCCAAGGATAAATGTTTCAAGATTTTATTTAAGATTTTATTTATTTGAGAGATACAGAGAGAGCATGAGTGGAGAGTGGGAGAAGCAGACGCCCTGCTGAGCAGGGAGACTGATGCAGGGATTAATCCCAAGACTCTGAGATCATGACCTGAGCTGAGGGCAGAGGCTTAACCCACTGAGCCATCCAGGCACTCCAATATTTCAAGATTTTTATTAAAATATGCCTTTCACCAGATATTAAACACAGTAAAATGACATAGGCATGACATCTTTCAAATGGCTGCATTGATGACAACCTGATGTTACTTCTCTCCCAATATGATATAATAGAAAGTACAAACCTATTAAGTACTCTTGCCGAAAAGTCAATCAGAATCGAAATCAAATCTCCATACCTCAGTTGACAAGAAACACATGAAATAGAGGAACAAGTTAAATGACATCCATAAGGAACAATTAAATAGAAAATTGGTCTAGACTCTTCAAAAAAGTCACTATCATGGGGGATAAAGTAGGGGACCTAAGTAGACACTAAAGAGCTATAACCATGAAATGAATGTGTGAACTCTGGATCCTGATTTAAAAACAAAACAAAACAAACAAACAAACTGTAAAAGACATTTCAGTGAAAATCAGAAAAATCTAAATGTGGACTGCGTATTGGTTTACTGAATTGTTAATGTTCACAGCTTTGATAGTTACAGTGTGTAGTAAGTGAATATTCTTTTTTTTTTTTTTAAAGATTTTATTTATTTATTTGACAGAGAGAGATTACAAGCAGACAGAGAGGCAGGCAGAGAGAGACAGAGAGGGAAGCAGGCTCCCTGCTGAGCAGAGAGCCCGATGCGGGACTCGATTCCAGGACCCTGAGATCATGACCTGAGCCGAAGGCAGCGGCTTAACCCACTGAGCCACCCAGGTGCCCTTTTTTTTTTTTTTTTTTTTTTTTTTTCAAGTAGACTCCATACCCAACATGAGGCTCAAACTCACAACCTATAGCTCAGGAGCTGCACGCTTTACTGAGCTAGCCAGGTGCCCCCAAATATCCTTATTCTTATAAAAAGCATTCTAAATTAGGAGAGAGGTGTCATGTCTACAACTTACTTTCAGACATCACAAAAAAAAACCTGTAAATTTATAACTACATGTCAGTGTATGTATATGTATGTATAGAAATAGATAAATAGAGCAGTTAATAGGAATTTTTTGTCTAGCTAGAGCGAATATAGGGGTTGAACTATTACTTTAACTCTAATGTAGATTTGAAATTTTTAAAAATACACATGTCCTTTTCCACCTCTAGGTTATAAAGATACCCTTCTATATTTTCTTTCATTAACTGTGTAGTTTTACATTTCACACTAAGTTTTTTTTGGCTCTCTAGAGTCCATATTTGTATGTGGTATTAGATACAGACCATTTTCTTTTCCCATATAGAGAATTCCAGCTTTCTCTATAGAATCTCCTAGCCAATGGGTTCAGTCCCCACTGATTTGTGAAAGAATGATTTTTGGTCCCACGGAAAGACCTAACCAGAGACAGGGGAAAAGGAACAAGAATGTAGGAAAAAAAGGAAAACAGAAAAAGGTAAAGGGTAAGCAGCAAAAGCATAAGTGCTTAGCTGAATAAGGGCTGAAGATAAGTGAAATTATTATCAAATTCCTATGCACAACCATGTTTATTGAAGTACATAAAAGCCAATGAAAAAGGATAACTGAACATCTTAAAAAAAAAAAAAAAAGTACATGCCCTCAAAGCCCTTCAGGAAACACCCAATTTGTCTGGTATATAATAACACAAGGAGAAAGTTTTCAGAAATTAAACTATTCTACCAACCAAGAATGTGGATTGCATTTTACTCAGCATTTACTCTTCTTCAGACAAAACAAAAACGATGGCAAAGCAGACATTCCAAGCATCTTAGAGACTCTTCTACAAACTTTCAGACTCCATGGGAATGTTTAAAGGTGTCTCTAAAACTTATTTAATTGATTAATTTAGCACCTAGATTAGAATTTTAAGACTTGAATTTATAGAATTCATAGCTCTTCATCTCATCACTGACAGAAATGTAAACCGTTCTCTAAAAACATACCTTTTATTTTCAGCCAAACTGGCTCCTTCATCCTTCAGCTGCTTACTCTTCTCAGCACAGCCCTCAGAAAGCATTTCTTTCCTTCGTTTAATGGCATGAAGCCAGTTCCCTTCTTCATTCTCAACTATATCCTTCTCATCGGCAGCTTCAGCTTCAAACTGCTGGGAAGTCACCTTTGAGACCTTCTCACCAATTTTCCTCTTCCATCCAAAGGAAGCCATTCTGGGAAATTACAAAGAAACAGCTTTAAAATTCAAACTTGGCCTTTTATAGAAGTTCTCCAAATAATAGGTGAAAAAGGGATAACAGAATCAGACTGGCACCACTTTTTAAACTCCTAATTAAATGGTGGATCAAGGCAATAGTCAACAAAGTTGCTAACATCATAAAGAAAGCCAACTGGACAGTATCTCCTGGTGGAAGGGCCATACCACCAATGAAGTTCCTATGAAGGTCACAAATGTTGGACCTATGAAGTCAAAAACTAATTCTGAATCAGATTGAGCGTACCGAATTCTACCAGTTTATAAGAAACCTGTGATGTGGATGAGCATGTTAGATAACATGTTGGAGATGAAGACAGCAAATTTTAAAAAATGAAGAAAAATAAAACTGGTTTCTTCAAGAAACAAACTTCCAGGAAAAAAGAGAAAGATGGGAAATTAAAAAAGAGACTTCAGAGACATACTAACCAAATAAAACCTATGCATCTTGTTTAGCTCTGGATTCAAAGACGCCAATGGGGAGGAAATATTTATGAAATAATAGGGGAAACCAGAACACTGATTTGATATTTGATGATATCAAGGAATTATCGCTATTGTTTAAGATACGATAATAATATTATAATTAATGTTTACAAAAAGAATATTTATCTTTTAGGAATATATACTAAAATATTTCATGAGATTAAATGATATCTAGAAATTATTTTCAAACTGATCACCAGGGGTGTGGTTGCAACAGAGGAGAAACATAGATGAAAGGATTGCTTTGGGTTGATAATTGGTAACGTTAGGTCATACATACACAGGATTTCTTGTACTTTCCTTTCTCATATACGTTTGAAATTTTCCACAATAAAAAAGTTTTTAAAAGAGTCAAACTTGGTAAATAACTTAATTCACAGAACTACTGGGTAAATCTAAAAGATAATACACGTTGAGCTGTTTTGTAAATCAGCAATGATACACAAATGTAAAGGATAAGAAAGAAAGGACAATTGGTGAGACAAAAATTAAAGAAAACCATAGAAGCACTCAACAAATTATGTATTTAGAGAAGGGATTTACTGAGGAATTCAAGAACTCTTACTATGTGCATGGATGAGCTTAAAGACACCGAGAAATTCATGGAATTGTATATACATTTTTTTCTATGTGTGCATTCTGGAGAAGAGTATCTAAGCTTTCATTCCATTCTTAAGGGAGTCTAAACCCTGAGGTGATTATAATCAACTAGGGGCATAAGGAAAAGCCATGAAGCAGAGGTGTTTAAAAACACTATCAAAGAATGGGCATTGTGGGAGTAAGGGAGAGAGAGAAATGAAATAATGAATAAGTTCTAGCAGATGTCAAGGTCTTCATCACCGATGCATATGGCTGAACTAAAATACAAGTAATCAATAGAAGAAAGGGGACAAAAAAGTAAAAGGGACTATGAAGTTATTCACATGGAAAGGCCCAAGATAACGGCAGAACTTGGAGGGGTAAAAAAATTACAGGTCATGTGCCTAAGTTCTAATGAATACAAGGAAGTTTCAATAAATTGTAGCAATCAAGAAATGCATAGGCAGATACACATGAACCACATGCTTTCCACTGGAGCCGGGATTTTTCAAAAAGCCCAGAGGAGTAATGTATTCTAAGCTACAGTGGGGAATTAGGACAATGCCATACTCTCTTCCCAGACCCGTTACAATATAGGAGATATATTATATGATATATATAATATGAGTTTCCTATGTTTGAAGAGGACTTTAAGTAACTTAGGGGAAGAACCAAGAAATGACTCAAAATGAAGTGTGGTTACATTGGAACAGAAGGCCAGAGGCACAGAGTTAAGACAGTGTAAAAGAATAAATCAATAGGAAGGTCTCATAAGATACCAGGTTAATATATCTAGATAAGAACTCTAGTGTTTATAATTGTCCCTATGACAAGAACGAGGACAATTACATTTTCTGGCTTCAAGTTTCCAAATGGAACTTTGTTTCTAAATCAGCAATGTGAGGAACCAGGTAATGTGGGAACCCTGTTAACAGAGGAAAACTTGGTATATTTATGTAGGGAAATTACATTAAAAATCATCAGTCGGGTCTATATATTATTGGGAGCAGGGGTTAAGATGGAGAGGAAAGGAAAAAGGAACAGAGAGACCTTCAACCCAAACCATTGTTCTAAATGTCAAAGACAGGGACAGGCTAAGACCCCAAATGGAGGTTCTCAACCATGTATGGAAAAAGTCACACACAACACTGCCTTGGGTGTTTCTGCCATCTTCCTCCACAAATCCTTTAAGCTCTTCTAGAGGTCAGAGACTATGGAGGTCAGGCGAGAATGAGGTTACATGTGTATAAAAGGCCTGATGACCACTAGTAGTTGATAAGTTTAGTCTTGAAGAGAGAGAAAAGAATACATTCCTCTCAGATAAGAGTTAATATTTAGTGAAAAGCACAGGCAAGTTCAGGGATAGGGGGAAAAAATAATGAAGGATTTCCTATCCCTAAGCTTCACATTTCCCAGAGAAATAGGCAGCTCCAAGTAAAGGGAAAAGAAACAGTTTTGAGTACTTGAGAAGAATACAAAAGTTCCAAAGTAGTCACTATAGAGAATGGGAAAACAGGAAAAGCAACAGTAAGGGATGAATAAAGATAACAAACAGTATCAGGGGCCCACTCGAGGTTAAAAAGCATGAATCTGTTACCAAGACCATTAGCAGAGCTTTGTATTTTCTTCAAAACTGTCTGGAGACAACAAGAGTAGAGTCAATATACTCCAGAATAAGTGTTATTAGAGAGTAAACAAAGGATACTATGACTTCAATGGAGACACTTGAGGAGTCCTGGAGGGGAGGATGATAAGTTTTGAAAAATAATAGTTGGCCAGCCTTAAAAGGAGGGTGAGTCCTAAGATATACGCAAAACAGTCTCTCACCTGAAAAACTGAACACTCAGAGTTGATTCAGGTACCTGAATTAGTACTAGTTTGTTGTTTCTCTAAGGTTATCTGAATGTCAAATTAAAACTTCTTATAAATAAGGCTTTCCTGAGTCTATAGTTAGATGCACAAGGCGCCAACATCCCAGCCCTTACGTTTTTTCACCTGGATAAAAAGTCATATGGGTAAATCATAATCATATAGGTTTCATGTTAAACTCATGAAACAACACAAATTCATTTTATACAGACATAGTTTATACATAGTTAATGAACACCATGAAAACTCTAAACAACAAAGCTGGGTTCTAAATTCTTCTGTTGGTGCAACGATCCTTACAGCAGGCATTCAATTACTGTGGACGGCTGGACAGTTCTCCCAGCCACAAGCCCAGAATGCATGTCTTCACTGCACTGGAGGATGCAGCACCTAAGACGAGAAACCGCCAGATGAACACCCTTAGGAAACCGAAACAGCATTCTTCGGGTACCGGGATGTACTCAGAGGTAAGAAATTCAAGAAGCAATTTACCCGAAAATGGCACCGTAACAGAGAAACCTGTATTAGCAAGTTCCCCGTGCGAAGTTCATAAAGGCTGCCCTGGACGCCACCCGCGAGTTCAACAGGCGGTGCTCAGCTGCAGACACCCCCATCGCGGGGTGGGAATCAAGCTCGGGTCCGCTCCTCCCACCGCTAAGCGAAGGTCAAAGCCGCCCCGGCCGCCGTGGAGACGCGGAAGCCGCTCCTGACGCAGGCGTAAGGGAGGGCCTGACCCCCTGGAACTGCTCGTCTCCAGATATCAACCTTAGCGTCCCTGCTCTGCCCACACCCCTGTTGGGTGTCAACTCCGACGTCTGAAGCTCCTTTTTCCCCTAACCACCAGACGCACCAACCTCGTTTAGAATTCTTCCTCCAGGTTCTACCACGGTCAGCGTAAACCCCACTTACCTGATGACCACTCCCCTGGGCCCGTGTTTACATTGTGTTTGCCTTTACCCACCGGAACCGGAAGCTACCCTGCCGGACCTCCTACCGGCCTGCCTTTGGCGCCAGGTCTCCCAAGAAACTGACCTGGCCGAGCCGGGGCCTCGGAACCACGCCGAGAGACGGGCAGGGAAGAGGCGACTCTCAGAGCCCTTGTGGTTGCCAATCCCTTTCTCGGGACCACAAATCCCAGAGGCCACTGCGGCCGTCCCCACCCCACTACCCTCTGGGATCTGTAGTTTGAGCCACCCGCGCCCCGAGCGCCCTCTAGTAGCAGCCGGGAGCGTCTGGCGCACGGGCGACCGCAGTGCGTGAGCGCGGGAAACTAGGGCTGCGCGGGTTGAGGGGCGCGCAGAGAGAGGCAGCCCCAGCCAGACTGCGCTCCCCGCTCAGTACGCCGGTGAAACAGTCGAGGCTGGGGGAAAAGATTTGGGAGTATTTCATCCCATTACGATAGGACCCTGCCCTAAAGGACTTTACAGCCTCCTTAAGAGACCGGCCAGACACAAAGGACAGAAGCAAAACTCCATGGGAAAGGAGTCCAGGGGAGCAGGTCGGGGAGAGAGGCCCGTGGTTCAACTGTAGGCTTCACGTTGGAAAAAACAGGTTAGTTGGGCCCATAAGAAGTATAACCTGAAAGTAGCTGTGGTTTGTGTCCTGAAAATAATTAAGTGGGAAAATGTAACGCAGAGAACTGTTTAGGAAATTGAAAAATTAGGATTGTTGATTTACCGATGTAGCTATCTTGTGCAAAGGAAGATCATTTCTGTAGACCAGGCTTTCTGAACCTCAGCGTTATATTTCAAACTGCATCATCTTTGTTGGGGAAAGGGAGACTCTCCTGTGCGGGGTAGGATGTTCAGCGGCATCCCTGGAATCTACCCACTCGATTCCATTCGCATCCACTCCCACCACCTCTACCACCTGTTGTGACGACCAGAATTGTCTCCAGTCACTGCCAGAGGTCCCTGGAAGGAAAATCGTTCCCCCACCCCTGCCCCGTTGAGAACCGCTGTTGTGGAACAATGATGCTCTGAAGTAAGCCTCAGATCCCCGAGGGTTGCCAAGACCTTTTCAAATTATCTTCCTGTTCACAGTAAGACATCATTTGCCTTTTCACAATGTTGACATTGCACTGGTAACTGAAAAGCAGTGGTGTGTAAAACCGATGGCAGCTCAGCCGTCAAGGCAATGATACCAAACTCTGCTAGCTGTCCTTGTATTCTTCTCCACCACACACCACACACCCCACCACGCACCACAGTACCCCCCCCAAAAAAGGCCACTCAAGAATATCCTTCATTGGGGCGCCTGGGTGGTTCAGTGGGTTAAAGCCTCTGCCTTCTCCTCAGGTCATGATATCAGAGTCCTGGGATCGAGCTCCGCATCAGGCTCTGCTCAGCGGGGAGCCTGCTTCCCCCTCTTTCTCTGCTTGCTGCTCTGCCTACTTGTGATCTCTCTCTCTCTCTCTGTGTGTGTGTGTCAAATAAATAAAATCTTTTTAAAAATATGTCTATATCCTTCATGAAGCAGTAAAACTTATTTTATTAAAATGACCCTTGAAGCTCATAAAGTACTTCTGCCGTGTACTGAAGTACGATGTCTCAAGTAAAAGCACTTGTGAGATTGCATTATACACTGAAATAGATACGTTTTTGTGGAATACAACTCTTATTTAGAAAAACAACCAGCCGTCCAGCTGGTTATTCAGGCTTGGGTATGTGATAGACCTTACCCTGAAAGTAAACAAATGGAGCCTGTTAACTTCAAGAGAAACAGTTCATGGTGTTGCCCAGAATATACTGTCATATCATACAAGTGTATCATATAGAAGTATATAACTTCTGATATTAATTATGAAAGACACAAAGGTAGTAGCATGTTTCTTAATATGGGGAGAAGCTGATATGTTCATGTTCACTGCAAACCTAAAACACTGAAAATCCATCAAGCCAAATATTTATGATTTGTGTACTTTTCTAAGTTACATACCTCTATAGCCTTTAAAGAACACGTATCTCCCTGACAAGACACTCACTGCAGGTTTATGCCTTATGGTCACATTCTTAGTGCTTGGTTCATAGTAGCTATTTGAGGGCATATAGGTTGCAGTGCAAATTATTAAGTGGTACTTGAAGGTGTACCCCTTTCTAGGGATCTTTTCCTAAAACTCTCATATAGTTTTACGCTGGTAAAGGCAACCTCCCACACCGTTTTCACGCTACCTACCACTTACTTAAGCCTATGAACTTGAAGTTCCTATTAGTATATTTAATACATTTCTCATACTGTTGATTGACAATATAATCATCTTCCAAGTTGCTGGAAATCCTCTAAGTTTGTCATAGTTACCATTTATTGGCACTCACAATAAATGGAACAGCCTATTTGTCTACAATAGGATAGTTCGATAAATATTGATATTTCAAACAAGAAAAGTTATTGTACAATTGTATACAGTCCGGGAAAATAAGTATCTAGAGCAACTTATAAATTCCCTAAAGAACAATCTTACGTGCTATTCATAACATTCTTTAGTACTGTTTTGTTACAACTGTCAAACTATTTTAAAGATTTAGAATGCCAACAATCTAGCTGAATCAAGCCCTGCCTAATAATGCCATATGGGATGTAAGATTTCATTATAGTTGAATTCTAACAGTAGTGGAATTCTAGCCAGATCCAATGTTGACAACAAAGAAAATGGGTAACTACATTGGCTTTTATTGTATTCATCTTAGTATTTTTTGTTCAGGGGGTTTTTAGATGAAATAAAAAATCAGTAATTTAGTTGAGACAAAGATCACATTTGAATGCTAAGATGTGTTTAAGCACTGTATTTTATATTTAGACACATTGTCAAAAAGATGCACAGGTAGTCCGCTATGAATAGGTGCTTTTTTCTTAGCTTTCCCAGAAGTTAAAAAATTTAAGCACAATGTAACATGAAAAATGATGTTTTTATCATCCATTTTTTAAATCAAAGTATTTTAAATTATATGCTTAAATATACCCCAGTCAAAACAAACATGAACACATCTCAGAGATACTGTACTACGAAGATGGATTTCTACCCTATCACCGATGTATAGTTGTGTTGTACGTGGAATTTCAGTCACCTTGTCAGGAGAATTCACAATGAAAATGAAATTTCCTGCTGTGGGTGGAGAAGATGGACAAGAGTTAGGGGAAAAGATTTACACAACACACTTGTTTCTTATTCGGAAGGTGCCGGTCAGAGCACAGATGCACAAAGCTCTCCATCCAGCCACAGTCCACAGTCCACCAAGCATTCATTCATGTAAGTGGTAGCACTGCAAAAAGCAGGGAAGGGGGGTGGAGAGTGTGCAGGGAAGGGGGGTGGAGAGTGTGCTCTCATCTTTTTGTATAAAATAATTTAAAACTCTGAAAAACTACAAACGCATCTCAAGAGAAAATATAATCAAAGTAAAAGCAATGGAGTTTATTTCAGTGAAATTAAATTAGATATATTAAGCTCCCATATCCCCCAACCTGTAGAAAAGTTCCTCTCAGTGAGAAATCATTTATTTTAATGGCAAAATTTTTTACATATCAGTAAAATCTGTTATATTTAAAACTATGTATACAGTACATTTCTGGCAAAAACCTTATACATCTTTCAGTTGTCAAGACAAAGTAAAAATATGGTTGCAGAAAATCAAAAAATATAAACTGCTGAAAAGATAATAAAAAAAGATAAAAAATCATTTGCATTGACTCCTTTTATCTGCAGTTAGTAAGAATTTGCAGACTACGAATTTTTGAAAGTTCTGATGCAACCTTGACATATTCAACCAAAAGTTGTCATTTCAAATATCCCAGCTTAAAAAAGAATTTACTGCAATAATCTGTGCGTTTATCATACTATTTGTACAAGTGCAATATTTAAATATCTTCAAAATAAAATTCAGTAACTAAAAGGAATCACAATAACTTAATAAGAAGCAAAGTTTACAAAATTAACAATTTTTAGAAGGTCCTATTTAATTGGTTCCTCCTTTTGTTCTCCCGAACTCCCCTCAACAGCTTATAGAGACATTATGAAGATGCCTTAGTTCTATATACAAATCTGTAACTTTAAAAATACAGTCTTCTGTTCTTAACATCAGAAACATAATGCTGCATTTTACAGACCCTACATTAAGCCAATATTCCCCAAAACACGGGGCCACATATAAGTTAAAAATACACTTGTGAACTTATTATTTAAGTTGAACTCCTATTAGTTTATACAGCTTTCAGATTCTAAGTTGAATAGAGAAGCCCTGGACAAAAAGAAACAAGATTCTTCTTTTGAATTCAGTGCACGTTTCTAGGGGCGCTGGAACCAAATCTATGACAGTTAAGTATGTAAGCTATCAAGACACTTGAGTACATTACTGTCTGAATGCTTAGGTGCTCACTGTATTTGCCAAAAACATTTCTATAATACAAAGGTATGAAATGAGAAATAAGATAGCTCTTTTGCAATGGAAAAATGATCGATACCAAAAAAATCAATACCTTGGAGTTAAAATAGTATAAGGCAATTATGGGTGATATAGTATTTTTTATTATTAGCATACACAGGACACCAATTTTAACTGATATGACTTTAAATTTTCATTTACAACTATTTCGGAATGCTACTAGGAAAAAGGAAAGAGCAAGGAAAAGAAAATATAGAGATCTTAAAAAGGTTATTTAACCATCTTTAGGCAGTTCCCATAATGCTTTTTAAAAAGTGACTGAAATCCAAAACGTATGTGACCATTTAGAAGCACTAACCAATATGTTCCATACTATACTGAAATAATAATGTCCTATCTGACTAAGGAGACATAACCAAATGCAATGTGTAAACTTTCGCTGAATCCTGGTTTGAAATAATGAGCTATATAAGAAATTTGGAGGGCAACTGGGGCATGGTTGGATGACATTAGGGAATTACTAATTTTATGTTTTAGGAAAATGTCATTATTTTTAGGAAATGCTTGAAATGTTGAGGGTGATTATGTCAGCAACAGCCAAGTGGTTCAGGGGGAAAAAGCATACACACGAACACACACAAACACACATACACATATATATACACAACTATATCTATAT